ATATTCAATATAATATCATAATAATTTTAATATTTAATATTTAATATAATATTATAATAATTTTAATATTTAATATTTAATATAATACTATAATAATTTTAATATTTAATATTTTAATATGATATCACAATAATTTTAATATATAATATTTAATATAATATCACAATAATTTTAATATTTAATATTTAATATATCACAATAATTTTAATATTTAATATTTAATATAATATCACAATAATTTTAATATTTAATATTTAATATAATATAATAATTTTCATATTTAATATTAATTACATTAATCTCCGTACCGCGTCTTTGTTTCTTTCGCGATCGTATGTACGTTTCGAACAACAGTGAAAACTGGCGGGCACAGCGCCGTATTCGTTCGAACTTCGTTCTTCGGCAGAGGAGGGTAAGAGGACGCGAGATCTTGAGTAGTTTGGAAGCAACAGATTACGAGGGGCGGCTTGAAAGGGACGGCCGGTTCAAAGAAAGGGCAGAGAAACGAAATTCTTTCCTTTCTTCGCGGCTTCGTGACTTTTCATCAGGCCGAGCGGACGCGAAAAGGAGGAGAAACCAGAGGGAAGATAACTCGTGCCGAGCGGGACAGAAAGCAGACGTCCAAACAGACGGAGTTTCGCGTCACGACGATGGAAATTGATCCTCCCCCGGTTTGGACGAACTGACCCGGTGCAAACAGTAACAGCGACCGAGGGGAAAACTTTCGCCTCCGCGAATCCCTCCGCGGGTGTGTTTGGTTAATTGAAAGTTTAAACGACGGCGGGAAATTTGCCCCGCGTTTCTGAATCAATTATCCTCCCTCGTCCTCCGAGTTTTCCTCTTTCTCCCTCTTTTTCTCTTTCTCATTCTTCTCTCTCTTCGATGAGAAATTAACCACTTGCGCTGGCAACTGATTGCGGACCATAACGAGTGACCAACACCGTATACAATTGTTATAATAATTCGTAGCTTATTAGTATAATAGCTTATTATTAGTATAGTATAATATATTATTATTAATATAGTATATTATACTATATTATACTATACTAATAATATAATATACTATATTATATTATTAGTATAGTATATATATATATATTATACTATACTTATATAGTATAATATATACATATATATATATATACTATACTTATATAGTATAATATATACATATATATATACTTATATAGTATAATATAGTATTATTAGTATAGTATATATATATTATACTATACTTATATAGTATAATATAGTATTATTAGTATAGTATAATATAATATTATTAATATACTAGCTTATTAGTATAATAATTCGTCGTTTTCTTTCTAAACTCGTCGGTATGGCATCACTGGATAGAAATTATTGAAGAAGTAACAAATTTATTATTTGTTTTGCCTAAGTTATAGTTAAATATATACTTAAAACTGAGGAAATGTTGCAATTTTGGGACAAAAAAATTCTCGACGTGCGTTGCACGTCGTTTCAGCGCAAGAGGTTAATTCCGGCCCTCGAAAATTCAGTTCCATCGATTGCCGCGACGGTAACGAGCTCGCTCGAGCATTGCGGATAACGACGCTCCTTATTGTTGGAATTGTTCTCGTTGGCAAGGAACATATTTTAACAGTTTACCGGCCGTGGCCAAGTTTGCTGCATGCAACTTGCCGATTTAGTGACAACTAATGAAAACAGGTCGCCGTCACACTGATTCATCATAGAATGGAGTGATTTTGAAAATATTTGAAGAGAATATATAACAATTCTAATCTAAGTGACAAGTGAACGACAATATAACTGATACTTTGTTAATTCAATCACGGTAATACGAGGGAGCTTACAATACGATCAGTAACAAGTGAACAAACATAAGTGACACGTTGTTAATTCAATCGGTAAGCACTAATTACGAGCACAGATCATGTGTATGATTCATACACCTCGTGTTCCGAGAAATCCGAATAATTCGGATCCCTTACTCGGTCAATGAGCGTTGTCATCGAAAATCCGATTACTCCGATCGCTAAAATGTCGATCGCGGACAAAAATTCTCGTTCAGATGGACGATTTATACTTTCTCGCGAGTTTCGTTTCTAGTTCTAAGGATCGTTTTCATCTATGGGATATCGTAACGGAAATGAAGAAGAAAAAAAAAAAAAGGTGGAGAGAGAGAGAGTGGTGCGCAACGGTTCACTCACTGTGAAGATGATCGTCGATCCTCGCCTGAAGCATGTTGAAGCTCGAGCTCGGCTGATACGGCTGCTGATCGCGAATACCGCCGCACGCGAACTGATAAAAGTCCTTGCAAGGATCCACCCCCTTCTTCATGAACGCCACCATCCGTTTCGAGGCTTCCTCGCAGGCTTTCGAGTCGCATACACCATCCGGGCCGTCCCTCTCCCTGATACAGGCTTCGTCCTGCAATGGAAATCGTTCGTCTCGTTTCTTTCTCTCGGTCTCTCTTTTCGTTTACACTCGCGATCAGTTTCTACGCCTCGGATCGCTTCGTGGAAATGGAGAAAAAGCGAAGATCCGAGTCTCGACTCTTACTAGAAGCGAAGTGTATTAATTCTCGGTGTTTGAAGGGGCAAAGACAGTGGAAACGGCTGTCGAGAAGAAAATTCGAGGATTAACCACTTGCGCTGGCAACTGGATTGCGGACCCTAACGAGCGACCAAATCGTATACAATAATTCGTCAGTATAATATCACTGGATAAAAATTATTAGGGAGTAATAAATTTATTATTTGTTTTGTCTATTTTGTTTTACTTGAATGTACCTAAAACTGAGGAAATGTTGCAACTTTTGAAACAAAAAATTCTCGACGTGCGTGGCACGTCATTCCAGCGCAAGAGGTTAAGACTGGCAACTGATTGCAGACCATAACGAATGACTAAACTGTATACAATAATTCGTCGGTATTATATCACTGGATAAAAATTATTAAGGAGTAATAAATTTATTATTTGTTTCGCCTATTT